TAGATAGATAGATAAATAAATAAATAAATAAATAAATAAATAAATAAATAAATAAATAAATAAATAAATAAATAAATAAATCCTCTTTTCTTCTTTATCTGCTTCTGGAAACAAAAATAAAACGAGCTTCTACCTCCAATATTTCCAATCTGCCAATCATGCAAAGGTAAGGTGAGAATTTATTTATTTATTTATTTGGCTTTTATCCCGCCCATCTAGATTCAAATGAATCTACTCCAGGCATTTTGACTTTTTATTCTCTGTGGACAAAAGGGAAGTAACTGTAAAGATTTTCTCCTCTGCTCAGGGTGCAAACACTCTCAGTTCTTTTACCAGATTAGTTCAAAAGTGCATAAATCATACGCAGATGCCAGGCAGGACAATGAGTCAATCTTAAAAATAGAAAGCTTAAGATTGGGGGTAAAAATGCCCTACATCTGGGCGCCAAAACCAAATCTTTCATTTTTACCCGTTTCCATCTTAATTAAGAAATCACCCTCCATGCTAATTAGTTGTTATTGCTCTTTCCCTTCTTTCACTTTTTAATTGGATCCTCTATGAGTGACTTTTTCCGAAACAGCCTCAAAGCTAAACTCTCATTCCTCACTAAATAAATCCAAGCAGAGTTGTGGAAATTGCTAGCACCACCTGCTGGTGAAAATGCAGAATGGTCCAAGAGTTGTGCTGGAAAATCATGGTGGGAAAGTGCCTTAATATTGTTCCGTATGGCTTGGATTAATTGCTCCAATATGCAATGGTTTAACTCTTTGAAACTGTATGCTCAACTCTTAATTTAGTATAGAATCTAATTTTAAAGCATCATTTATGGAGGCACACATAAGAAACCTGACCTTTAGTGATAGATTTCTGGCCATTCACAATAACACATCACCTTGCTTTTGCATGAATAGCCTGAACTATTTTAGAAGAAAAGAAGGAAGCAAAGTAATTTCCGAGATGCCTTTAATTCAGATACCACAGACAGAATCTTGTTCATGGCTTCACAAGTCAAGGGATACTTCATTGTGCACACTTGGAAACTATCTGTGCAAGAGACAACTGTGTGAGTAGAAGGAATAAACAGGATTCTGCCCAGGTATTTGCATAAACAGCTTAAGCCATCATGTCTGTAAAATTATGCTGGCTTAGTTATATTAAAAGCAACTGTGTTCACACTTGCCAAGTGTGAGTGGTTGTAGACCCTAGTAGTATTTTTAAATACTTTTATTTGGAAGATGTGACTCCATAGCAATTATTCAATGTTAGTATTATTGAGGCAGGGGTATACAAAAGTATAGGACTATTTATGTCTCTTAAGACTTGGAAAATGACTCATCAAATTATTTAAACCTAAAGCAAGCAATCTTATTTTTTAGCTTCCTGTTAAATACGCATGGCAGCTCCTTCACCCAAGAATATACTACAGAGCTACACACCTGAATGGAGACTTATTTCAAAGTCAAAGGGGTAGCAGTGCTCGTTAAAATCCCATATGCTCATTAAAACCATAAATTAAGAGGTTGTTTCCATAGCAGCTGGAGTTCGTGAATGGCTGCTGTGCTGACAGCCAAGCAGCACTCACAAAAGCCCACAATGTAGCCGTTCTGTTGCTGTGAATGACCAAATAAGAGAAGGGTGTCTAGGGTGAATTATTATCTCGTGGTTTCAAAGCTGTGTATTGCCTAGTAACACAGTCTATCTGCAGCCACTTGCAACTAAAGCTTGCCCACTCAATACATGTCACAACTGTTAACAAATCTTACGCTCACACTAAATGGATTTACACTTCAGTCTCGAAAGACTATGGTAACGTGCTCTGTATGGATTTACACATACAGTATGTTTAAATGTATGGCATTTAAGCAGCACCCGAATCTTTTTCCACAGAAATTCAACCATTATAGTTATCTCCTGTTCACAAGTCAGCATTTTTTTTCAAGAGGCTCCAAATCCTTGGTTTTAACTATCTCATTTATCCCTAGAAAAATGTGAAAAGGCAAGAGATAGGCACTCCAGCTATATATTTCTACCCTGGATGACTAATCGTGCTGCACTGTGGCTCTATTTTACAATGCTTTCTGCATTCATTTAGAACCAGACGAGGACAAACTTTCCAGGATAAGGAAAATAACCTAAGCACACATGATCTCATCTGATTTGGAAGGTAGGCACTGTCAGACCTTGTCAGTACTTGGATGAGAAACTCCAAGACAATTTGAGAGATCTCTAGGTAAGGTTAGGAGAAAAGGCCTGTCTAAAAACCTGAAAAGCTACTGCGAGCCAGAGATGATAATTCTGAACCAGATGGACCAAGAGGACACCTCAGTATAAGACAGAGCCCTAGCTTCTTATGAGTAAAGGCAGGATACAAATACAAATAAGAGTAATGACTTCCAGTTCCCCATTACAATCCTAAACACAGACCAAAACTTCTTCACAAGCTCACCCACAATTTGCTTTTCACGCACAACCACAAGCCCTATCCAGTGATTCTCACCGAGCGATTTGCGAGAGAGATGGTATTCGCTGTGGCTTCAGCTTCTTCTTGACATTTCAACTTCTCTGCCGTGGCCTTCTCAAACTTGGCAGTGAGCCTTGCCAAATTCTCATTGAGGTGCTGTGTCAAGGAGAAAAAAGAAAAGAAAACCAGAGGAGAAATAAAAGATCTTGAAGCAATCCGAACTGTTTATACATCTAATTGTTGAGCTTGGGTAAATATATGCTGATAAATATATTGCAGAATGTGTGATTGCATTGGTAATTGGGTGACAAAAATAAAGTAAAAACTTGCAAAAAATGGTTGAGATTGAAAAGGTTACTTCTGGAAGGAATCAACGCTCAAGGATCTGCCAGTCACTAGAGGACATCTAGGGCAAACGAGACATCAGCTCCTGGTTCACAAGGAAATGCACACAACAGAAACTATTCATAACCACCACTGTTAGAATTGTAAGATCAGCCAGTCATACAGCTGAAAAACATAAACACACTGAATCCCCTTTACTCCTTGGGAAATCAGCCAATTTTGGCATACAGATAATGAAGTAGTTCCCAAATTTGGGATCCCATATGTTCTTGGACTACAACTCCCAGAAATCCTGGCCAGCACAGCTAATGGTGAAGACCTCTGGGAGTTTTAGTCCAAGAACATTTGGGGACCCATGAGCTAAGGGCGGAGACAGGCTTATTCAATGGATGCAGGAAGTTATCTGGGCTTGCACTGGGGCTTCGTAAAGGAATTCTCTATTTCTCTGACAGCAATGTAATTCCGCTGTTAGCAAAGCTTACCTCATATAACACTTTCTCAGTTTTAACTTCACATTAACCTAAAAATTCTTCTCTGGTGACTTAACAAATGCTAACACCTATACATCTTTTCTGTAAAACCATCTAAGCAGAGTATAACAGTTCAAAAACAATTTTTAAAAAACCAACAAACTACAGTATTAGCCTTGAAAACAATTGGCAAGAAGTGCATATCTTCCAGTTTTGGAATAATGCAGCCCTGATACTGCACACCAGTTAGCCATCCAACTGCCTAGAAATGAAATTTCCAGGTGCGCTTTAAGATAGTCCCAGAAGGGAAAGTATTGCAGGTGTCTATCTTTGATATAAGCAAAACATGGACTGCTATTACAAAATCTGATTGACATAGGACAGCGACAACTGGAACATAAAATGCAACTGTGCACTACACTCTTTCCCATTGCCACCACCAGGAAATCTAGGAGCAGTGCAATTTTCCCCGGATTCACAGACAAATTACATGATATGCGAAACACATAGCCTGTAGCTTTGTATTCTATTTTCTTCTTTAATGTTGTGTTATGTGCTGTCAAGTCAGAACCCACTGAAAGCAACTCTAATAGGGCTTTCAAGATAAGTGAGATACTTAAGAAGTTGTTTTACCAGTTCCACTCCCCCCAGTTGTGTTTCCATGGCTGAGTGAAGATTCAAACCCCACTATACTACACTGGGTATCTTCTTTACTCTTCTGTAAATGCGCATGCCCTGTCTGGATCAGGACCAGCATGCATGGATGGGAAAGATTTAAACTGCCACTCCCATGTGGTTTTTGTTTCAAAATCCCCTCTGCTGACAATGGAATTTCTTCATTTTAAAGCTACCATTCAGTGATTTAGTACAAATCTCAACCTGCATTAGGAGCCCCACTCTTACATTAAAATAATAACACTTTTAAAAAGTGAAGCTACAAGTCATGTACTTATTATAATGTGCAGTTTCACCTGTAGATACAAATGCAATGGGAATGCATTATAGCTGTAATGGCTTCGTGAAGAAGGAAGTTAGGCAGATGGCTTTGTCAGGTAACTTCCATCAACTGTTAAAGATACAGTACCTCCACTGTCCTGTATATTGGTATAAAACTCATTAAATGAGGGGGGCAACTGCTTTTCTCACCTCAGGGTTTCTTCTCTTGAGGTGATTTTCCCCAGGCTCAATGCTTCCTGTTTATCGTTACTGTACCTAAACTAGGCTATGGAGGAATGCCTATGTAAGAACTATCGAGATGAGCTATTTAGAAGGGTATTTATTAAAGGACTGTGCAGAAAATGTTCTTTTCCATTTTCCTTCAGTTAATCTAGCAACACATTTCACAATGGCCATCTGACCAACATATCCATATGTGATCGTTTTTCCATCTCCACTATAAACCAAAAACAGACTGTTGCCTCTAAATCATTTTAACAGTGCTTGAACAGTGCACTAGAAATAAACCTGAATATGAAAAAGAGGATTATATTTTTAGTGGTATCTGGAGTTTCTTGCTCAAATATCTCCACAGAATACAATATACATACTATTCACACAAAGGCTAGAATCCAAGTGAAAACCTATGCTGGTAGAAATACCTTGACATAAATCTCAGCAGTGAATTGCTGTAAGTTAAGAAGTTAGCATAGGCATATGCTGTTGTGTGCAAAGTCACATGCCTACACCGACTTCTTGATTTTCAGCAATTTGCTGCTGAGATTTCTGTACATGGATTTACACTGACAAGAGTTAAATAACAGGATTCTGGCCAATGCTTTTTATTAAACCCCGGAACAAAAACATATCAAAGGATTTCAGTATTTAAAATTAAGAACTATTTATAAATATGCATAATATTATACAAACAAAAAGTCACAATATTGCCATAGATCTATGGGAGGAAAACACACACACGGATATAAGTTTAACTTAAAAAATCCAAAACCTCACTCATCAGTGTTATTACTTAAATTCTAATATCAAATTTCATCTCTCCAGTCTTAACTTTGCCAGATATCCAAGTATGTCATGGGTGGTTTCACTGCTGTCCACAAACCAAATAAAAGCAATCTAGGTATTTATGAACTTGCCTATGCAACATTCCCCACATGCTCCCAAGAGCTTCTCCAACGAGTTTCCCAATTGTCTGGAGCCTGGCCTGTCAGGCTATGGTTACAATCATTGACATTAAGATGATATACTGTGCAATGATTATTATTCCTCTTAAATAAAGGCACAGAGCCCTCTGCAGAAAACACCTCATAAAACAGCTACGTGCAAATGGTTAATAGCCTTTTGTTCTTTAAATAACATACAGGATAGATTGATTGGAGTGTGCTCAGTTCACTGATGTTCATACTGCAAGTGGTTTGAAATTCACTAATGGGCTATATGTTTGAAGGGCTTCAAACAAGAGCAAATCTTTTTTAAAGGATGTAAAAATGATTTAGTTACATTCCTACCATTTTCAAGTTAGATTTTAATCACACAAAAAGGATTTAGTTTGGCCCCTTCATTGTGGTCTGTCAGGAAAATATGCTGCCGTACAGATCTGCAGGTCATTCAAATTAAGAGCAACATTTAAATTAGAAATTTCCAACAATTGCTAACTCCATGCTGCATTACATTGTGACATATTAGAGAAGCAAGAGTAATCTTTAATAAAATCTATTAGTGTTTAATGAAATTGGCTTAAAAAGAAGAGATAGTAAATCTGTGAATAGTAACAGAAGAGGAGGAGGAGAAGGATCTAAAATAAGCTTTTCTTTTAGCCATTTATTGGTAACTGGCAATTATTTGTTGGCAATTATGTATATATTATAATTAATAACAATAATGCAAACTATAGTGTACAATAATTAAAGACTGAATTTTCGCCCAATAAACTTGTTTAAAGAGAAATATTTTCAACAGGTAAGGAGATTATTTAAACTCTTAGAACAGTGGTTCCCAATCTTTTTTGAGTCACAGACTCCTTTTATAATAACCAAATAACCTGTGCCCTCCAACGTTTGCATAAAAAGGCATTTTTAATAAGGTAAAGACTCAAAACGCAAAGTCTTCTCTCCCCCCTCCCCTGCCGCCAAAGGGCCTGTTTCTAATACATACTCACAAACATTAATAATCCACTCTGAAAGGTCAAGAAAAAAGTTATTCAGCAAGGGCTTGTTGTTGTTTAGTCGTTAAGTCATGTCCAACTCTTCGTGATCCCATGGAGCAGAGCACGCCAGGCCCTCCTGTCTTCCATTGCCTCCCGGAATTGGGTCAAATTCATGTTAGTAGCTTCGATGACACTGTCCAACCATCTCGTCCTCTGTCATCCCCTTCTCCTCTTGCCTCCACACTTTCCCAAAATCAGGGTCTTTTCCAGGGAGTTTTCTCTTCTTATGAGATGGCCAAAGTATTGGAGCCTCAGCTTCAGGATCTGTCCTTCCAGTGGGCACTCAGAGTTGATTTCCTTCAAAGTCCAGGGGACTCTAAAGAGTCTCCTCCAGCACCACAATTCAAAAGCATCAATTCGTTGGTGGTCAGCCTTCTTTATGGTCCAGCTCTCACTTCCATACATCGCTACTGGAAAAACCATAGGTTTGACTATGCTTTGTCTATGCAGAGACATCACCTTTGTCAGCAAGGTGATGTCTCTGCTTTTTAAGATGATGTCTAGATTTGTCATCACTTTCCTCCCAAGAAGCAGGCGTCTTTTAATTTTTGTGGCTGCTGTCACCATCTGCAGTGATCATGGCACCCTAGAACGTAAAATCCTTCACTGCCTCCATATCTTCCCCTTCTATTTGCCAGGAGATGATGAGACCAGTCACCATGACCTTAGTTTTTTTTTAAGTTTTTTTTTTTTATGTTGAGCTTCAGACCATTTTTTGCACTCTCCTCTTTCACCCTCATTACAAGGTTTTTTAATTCCTCCTCACTTTCTTCCATCAGAGTGGTATCATCTGCATATCGGAGGTTGTTGATATTTCTTCCGGCAATCTTAATTCCGGCTTGAGATTCCTCCAGTCCGGCCTTTCACATGATGTATTCTGCATATATATTAAATAAGCTGGGGGACAATATACAGCCTTGTCGTACTCCTTTCCCAATTTTGAACCANNNGTGGTCAGGCACTCCCATTTCTTTAAGGACTTGCCATAGTTTGTTGTGGTCCACACAGTCAAAGGCTTTTGCGTAGTCAATGAAGCAGAAAATGTTTTTCTGGAACTCTCTGGCTTTCTCCATAATCCAGTGCATGTTAGCAATTTGGTCTCTCATTCCTCTGCCCCTTCAGAATCCAGTTTGTACTTCTGGGAGTTCTCGGTCCACATACTGCTGAAGCCTACCTTGTAGGATTTTGACCATAACCTTGCTAGCATGTGAAATGAGAGCAATTGTATGGTAGTTGGAGCATTCTTTGGCAGGATGTCTGGCTCAAGGTCAGCAACCACACTAGCTGGGTTGTATGGGACATCCAAATTTTTCTGGCATAATTTCTCTGTGTATTCTCACCACCTCTTCTTGATGTCTTCTGCTTCTGTGAGGTCCCTACCATTTTTGTCCTTTATCATGTCCATCTTTGCACAAAATGTTCTGTTAACATCTCAATTTTCTTGAACAGATCTCTATTTTTTCCCTATTATTCTCCTCTATATCTTTTCCCTGTTCATTTAAGAAGGCCCTCTTGTCTCTCCTTGCTATTCTTTGGAAGTTTGCATTCAATTTTCTGTAACTTTCCCTATCTCCCTTGCATTTTGTTTCCTTTCTCTTCTCTGCTATTTGTAAGGCCTCGTTGGACAGCCACTTGGCTTTCTTGCCTTTCCTTTTCTTTGGGATGGTTTTTGTTGCTGCCTCCTGTACAATGTTACGAGCCTCCATCCATAGTTCTTCAGGCACTCTGTCCACCAAATCTAGTTCAGCAAGGGCTACAACTCATATAAAGTGTGATTGGGTTTGGGTTTTACCATGGACAGCTCCTCCTCTTCCATCTTAAGGAAGGAAGAGTCAAAGGGCATATGCAACAAACTTTTATTCAACCACAGCTGTGGTTTCTCAGTGATAACTTCCATGGGCTCTATTTCCTCTACTAACTGGGATAAGTGCATCCAAATGTCTCTTAACAGTTTGTCGGTAGAGTCCTCTAGTACCGGGGGGGGGGTTTCTACCAAACCTCTCTTGGTCTACAGGTTTCAGCAGAGGTGTACATCCGCTTGCACATAGGGTTCCGCAACATGAATGTCGGGATCGCTCTCTCTCAATCAGTTTCACATGGGTCTGGCTTCTCTTTCAGGGTTCCTCCTTTCTCCAGCGACCACCTTTCCTGGGGCAGATGAGAACTGTCCATTCTATCCAATCTAGTTCTGCAAGCTGGACAGTGACCCCCCCCTCTCTCTCTCTCTCTCATCTCTGCAACTCCCTCCTCCCTCTTTCAATTTGGGAGGGGGGGGTTACAGGGGGGTTGCTCTTATGACCCCTATCTGTCTCCTCCAAGTGGAGTTTCATACAGATCATTTCAGGAGTCCATGGATCCTCTAGACCAGTGGTTCTTAACCTTTGTTACTCGGATGTTTTTGAACTGCAACTCCCAGAAACCCCAGCCAGCACAGTTGGTGGTGAAGGCTTCTGGGAGTTGCAGTCCAAAACTCCTGAGTAACCCAAGGTTAAGAACCAGTGCTCTAGACTGATCCATCCCCAACACAAAGGTAGTTCCTCTGACTCATCTTTCTCTCTTTCTGCTTTCTCCTCCTCCCTCTCTGCTCCTTCTTCTCAGTCTTTTGCCTCTTTTATCACCTCCTCGATTTCTACCTTCCCTTCTTTATTTATTCATTTGATTTATACCCTGCCTATCTGGCCTAATAGACCACTCTAGGCGGCTTCCAGTATAGTATAAACAATAAAATAAAACAAATTTTTTTTACATAAATCATACTATAACATTCTTCCTTTCCCACCACCAGATGCCCCTCTACAATTGGTGTTTCCCCTGTCATTCCCACCTTCCTGCTCCATCTTTCTTCTCCTATCATACCTCTTCCTTTCTCTTCTTCTGTGCCCTCTTTTGGTGAAAGATGCATTTCCTTCATGGATGGTAAAATAGTATAAATGGTTTTGTATCCCTCATTCACGAAGAGGGAGAAGCCTCACACACCAGCCAGTTGTCTCTGGCATCACTGCCTCACATGAGGCATATAAGGTGAGTCCTTTGAAAACACTTTGAAACCTTCTAGGGGGTCACTACCCCCAGGTTAGGAAACACTACCTTAGAAGGAGGCAAAGAGAGAGACCCCTAGTGCTCGGTGTAACCCAAACAATGAGTGCTCCTCTGAAACCCGGGAGGTTGCAACACACCTACTCCCAGAACCTCAGGACAGGGTAATTCAGTAAGAGCCCCTTCCTGCCAAAACTCTGGGGATTGCAGCTGCCCCCTTCCAATCAAGTGACCTTTACAGGCGAAGGGAAAGGGGACATGGGAGGTTGGAAACCAGAGGATGCAAGGGAGCTGTTAGAGCAGGGGTCCCCAACCCCCAGGCTGTGGACTGTTACCAGTCCATGGCCTTGGAAGGACCAGGACACTGAGACAGATTTCTGAGGGCTGAAGTAGCATGCGCGAATACGCACACTACCACCCACCCACCCTCACTCATGCACAGATGCTCCCCGCATTGACCCATGCATCCCCCTGCATGCAAAGACACATCCCCACATGCACACACCCCACCACCCCACCACCACACAAACGTACCCCCCGCACCTGCACACACACAGATGCGCGCGCACACGAACACACACACACACACACACACACACACACACACACACACACACACACAGATCACATTCACACAGTGACCATGGGAAGCAGAGGAAAAGACACTACGTCAGGGCTAGTGAAGCCAACTAGCCCCAAAGGTGATCTATTGACTAGTTTGTGCAATGTTGATTTTCCTTCCCCTGATTTAATAAACCTTCTTGTTGCTGCTGCTGCTGCTGATACTGTTGTTGACGCCATGGACTTCAGAATGGAGGGTACGCCACCTGACAACCAAGGGAGGGTCAGTGTGGCCAACTGGGCCCTTTTGTCCCTCTTGTGCTTCTTATTTTTTATGCGTTGGAACTGACACTATCAACTTGCCTTAATTACCCTTCCCCTCATTCACTGAAAGGAAGGGTACATAAGGCAAGTTCATAGTGTTAGTTCCAGCATTAGTTCCCATGAGGCTCAGGCTGCCAAAATGGGCAGTTTTACTGCTGGGCCTTGGACAGTAGTGGTCTGCTGCATGCCGAGGGGGCTTGCAGGATGTGATGCTGAGCAGCCTGCTCTGAAGCCTGAGAGATCCCCCCCCCCCAAAGAGGAAGGCCACAGGTATCATTGCTAGTTTTGAAACACTGGCACTGATGGCATTTCTCCACAATGTGGCCCTCTCCAAGACAATATAGAAACAAAATGGCTGTCACTGTGTGGGATCTTACTACCACATTGAGTGTGCTTGTTAAAAAAAAGGTCTTCAAGGCCACTGTGCATGGGAAAGAAGGCAGAATGTTGAGGAACAAGGTCATGATTGAAGCTGGAATGAGCCTTGATTGAAGCACAACCAAACCCACAGAGGAATCCACAGTTGTTCTGGTATAGATTTGAAGCAAGAGAATTTTAGCAAGAAAAGAAGCATTCTAAGGCAGCTGGTTATGCAGGGGATGGAGATGAACTGAGGGTGAGGCAGGAACTCTGTGTATTTTTTTTTCCCTACTGGCTGAAGGATGAGAGTCCTTACAAAATTATTAGCTTTAGAAGACTTTGAAACGTCTGTACATATGCAGAAGTAACCCATATGTGTAATGCCAAGAAAAACAAAAACAAAATACCCCAACTATCTTGCCGCTGGCCATGCAAGCCAAAGGATTCTAGAAATCATAGTCCTGAAAAATTAACATTTCTATGTTCTAACATGAAACTAGCCCTGCATCTGTTCAATTTATTATCCTGACTATGCAAATATTTCTGTTTCACAGCCCCTAGACTGCAATAAACATAAGAATCCAAGGTATAACAGCTTCTTTGACCTGGAGGGGACTCTCTCATACCAGGCAACAAGAACAAAAAGCTATTTGCAAGCCTGCTGAACAGTAGGCACTATGGATTACACCACTACAATAGTTGTTTCTGTTTATTCTGTGCATCTAAGAAGGTATAGGCAAACGTATCAAAGTTAGTTAAATGTCAATGCTACACAATGGTTAGTGTGCCAAAATAGAAAAGGGAGAGTCTCACTTCTTCAGCAAAACCTCCCTACCTCACAGGGTTTTTGTGAGGACAAAACAAGGGTTGGTAGAGCCATCTACACCCTTTGTGTTCCTTGGAGGAAAGCTCAAATGTGATGGTAATGAATAAATTACATGCAATAAATGAATAATGTTCTGAGGGTTGTAGCAGAGAGAGGGAGAGTGGAGCTGCAGTTTTGCAAAACTGTGTATGCCTAAATTTAGATAACTGTAGACATTCAAACTGGACAAAAAGGAATTAAATTAGAATTCTTTCAACTGACATGAACAAAAGGAGCCACAAACCTTATAAAATCTCTCCTATAGGCTGAAATCCTACTGCTCAATCTAATAAATTGCAGCTGCAACAGGACCATTAAACAGTGGGGTTTAGGTGAGTCAACTCCTCCATAAGCTCCATTGATTCAATGGGTCTACTCTAATTGTAATTTACTACACTAAGCAACAGAATTTCAGCCATAGATTATAGGAATTACCAATTTAGGTACTACTGCGCGCTAATAATAGATAGGGAATAACGTCACACTGTGAATTTTGGCACTTTTAAAATACATCTTGTTGGAACTTAGAAACATTACTTTTTTGGACTACATCTCCCAGAATACCCCAGGTCTCATGGTCACTCGGGGTTCTTGGCAGTGCAGTGAAAAAAAGTAACTTTGCCAAACTCAGGTCTAGTGTGACAGTTCTTCCTATAGCAGCAAGGACCTGGGCTTTATAGCCATTCCAAATTAGTATATCAAATTTCCCATTAATGGCACACTGCAAAATCACCCATCTCCTGGTACAGCGCCTCAGCGACAGAACACATGTTTGGCATGCATAAAGTCCTAGGCTGAAAGTCCCTACCAACTCCCCTGTATAAGGCGACATGAAAGCCCCCTGCTGGAGCCTATAGAGAGTCAGAACAGACAGCAACAGACTAACTAGAAGGACAAAGAGGCTGACCTTCCAGGGTTTCCGATGTTCTACTTAAAGCACCAAGGACCACTACGTACTTATTGAAAGATATGCCCATTTCACAGAACACCCTGTGCTTCTGTGGACTTACAGCAATTTTGGCCTTGATGTTAGCCAGCTTTTCCTGGGCAGCAGTGAGCTCAGCATTTGCCTTGCTGAGAGCCTGTCGCTTGGGCTCCACCTCACAGTAGACTTCGTAGAAGCGCACAATGTTGATGACCCAGGAGCAGAGACCAGCCGCTGCATAGGACTTGGAGGCCACCAGCTCAGGGCTGAACTGCGGATCCTGAAGATAGCTCTGCAGGGCCCGGAGGCAGTTCTCGGGTATGTTCTCCTTGTTGAAGTGGATCAGGGAGTCCAAGAAACTATCCACCTTGGCCATGGCCACCTTGGCTGCCTTCCAAGTCCGATCTTTTGGCACCTTGCCCCCAGGAGCTGTGAGCACCATCACAGCAGCAGTGACATTGCTGACAGCAGAAGGCGGTGATCCAAATGACTTCAATTCTGTCAGATTGGTCTGAAAAAGAAGGAAGGGTGGGGAGGGGGGGGACAAGGTTGTTAGATGAAAATGAATGGGTTTTCTTTTTTACTTCACTGGTAATGGAGTCAGGCTCCGGAGCTATCAATCTGAGAGAAGAGCTTTGAAGTCAGGAGCAACACTCTGAATTTTAAATATTATGACTCATTCAGGGTAAAGCAATGAATCCCTCTAGTGGCACAGGGACCTTCACTGGCTTGCAAAAACGAGCGCCAGTTGTGTTCCTTCAGCATTTCAACCAACATGCTAAAATGGCACAACTAGATGACAGATTCACCCAGCATGGGGGAAACAAACAACAACAAGAAACAAGATTAACAGGTCCTAAAATCAACAGTGTGTATCTCAAACCACAAGACTGTCTTATAAAACTTTGCCCTGTTTAATGTATGGTGTGTTCAGGGAACACACCTTCTCTGCAGTTTTTCCATTGACACAGGGGAGCCAATTGTTAGCAGCAACAAATCACTGTGCCCTTAGGGAAAAAAATCTTTCTCTCCCCTAGATTCCTTTGGGAGCAAGGGCATTAGAAAATTAGCTTTACATTATAGTCGACCACTATGCCCTGACAGGCTCCCCATATGAATGCAGGTGCCCATGTGCCATCTAGATCCACCCACACAATCCTGTTGTTGTTGTTGTTGTTGTTGTTGTTTTCAATTAGCAGGAAGCTGAAATCAAGGAAATAAACATGTTTTTTCTGGGGCCCCGAGAAAGCGTAACCACTGGCTGAGGGATGATGGTAGCTATAGTCCAGAAAACTAAAATGTCCAAGTTCTGGGGCGGTGCTCTTTGAACATGAGCCAGGCAAAGTTAGATCTTTTTCAATCCTACTTACATTTCAGTGGGTGAAGACCACATGTTTAATACTCCCACTAAAACCAATGGGATTTAAATGAACTTAATTTGACTGAGTCATGCTCTGTGTTTGTGCATCTTTTTCTCAGAGAACTGTATTGAGTTTTGCTTTTTCTCTTCTTTCCCAGAATAATCTTAATTATATAACCCCATACACATAAATGCGCACACACATGTACTATAGGCTTCCGTCACATGACACCTAGCTCTCATTAACTGAGAGCACTCATTCACTCAAACCTAAGAAATCAATGACCCTGAGTGACAAATGGGGGTATGCCAAAGGAGAATTCCACCCCACTCATCATGGGGCTGATAGGGTAGTTTGATAAGCAGGCAACTGTCAATGCACTGAGATGCCGCAAAGGAGGGAAGAAGCATAATGAAAGAGGAGCCATCACACCAAAGATCTGTGTCATACTAAACAGCCCTATCATGTTGACATCCTACAAATGTGAAAGCCCTGTCAGAATGAACTGTATTCCACACCATGCATTCCTGCCCTGATGGCCTCTCAGGATGTTTATTCTCTATACATAATCAACTCCACAGACGCTTAAGTCTACAGAGGGAAATTGCTCTGAACTGAAGCCACAAGGCACACAGAAGGCTACGCGCAGCATGAAGCAACCTAGAGATGGCCACTTTGTGAGAATATCCCTAAGGTCTTTCTGGGTTGTGATAGATTGTGTCAGGTGACATGAGCATTTTAGGCATAAAGCCAGATAGCTGTTTTGACAATCCCCCGTCGATCTCCGAGTCTGACCAACGTACACAGTTTAAGTGCATAGAAGAACATTCCCCTGTTTATATCAGACAGACAAGTCTGTCTCCAAGATTGATGTTGGGGCAAACCAGGCAAAAAAAAAAAAAAGAAACCCACCGGGCACAAAACTGATGGGGTGGGAAGGGCACCCTCATCAATTCTGCTCCCTGAAAAAAATCCTGAGCAATTTTTCAACAGTTTTCACAGTCCACATGTACAAAGCCCACTTGGAGCACAGCGAAAGGTAAAACTGAAGAGGTTTCAGCAAATCTGCATGAAATGGAGCAGACTCTGTTATCAGTGCTCTGCTCGCAACCTTCCTCTTTCTGAGAATTTGCTTGATGCTGCTGGGAGAGATATCCTGCCTCCGCTGCCTTCAGTGAGCACGAGAAACCCCACAGTGAGACCAGCTTGAGCTGCACTGTCAAATTGCAGTCCCGTACCTGAAAATACTGTGATGGTGGAGCAGAAGGGGTTATAGCTGTGCCGTGTTTTCATGCTCTCTTCCCCCCCCCCATCCCCGTTAAACCCTTCTGGCAACGCTCCTCTCAAAGAAAGGTTCACGTGATTTGTCTGACAGCAGGCCTACCTGGAGCTGAAATGCTCTCATTTTTTTTCCTAGTTAGGAACAATGACATCTGTTTTAAGGCCATGAAGACAGCCGTCTGCTGTGCTTTGGGTTTTGGATTATTCCTGCAAACGGCTTACAAAAGAGTGTGTACAGCTGCAGAAGACCAGCATACGAGCTTCAGAAGGCAAAGGCTTCATTTCGGAAAAGACCTCTGGGGCTGGATGTGGATATGAGTGTGTGAGAGTGTGTGTGAGTTTGAGTGTGTGTGAGTGTGTGTGTGTGTGTGTGTGTGTGTGTGTGTGTGCGCGCGCGCGCACGTGTACGTGTGCAGGTGTGTATCAACTACTGATTTGATATTGTTTTCAAAGTTGCTTGACAGAAGTTGCTCTACAGACCTGCTCACATAACCAGCCATGCACAGCAGCTGCAGCTGGTTGGATGGAAAAGGAACTAACTCCTTGTACATTCAGTTCAGAATACAAGAAAGCACTGAGTGCGTGCTGAGGCACTCGGCTGCAAAGTGCTTCCCTCAACCATCATATTGATTATGAACAGTTTTCTGAAATAGCAGAACGTTTCTTCCTTTCTCCCTGAAATACTTCCCTAATCAGAATTACTGTTCATCTAGCCCTTAAGAGTGAGGATGGGTACTAATTACTTATCTCATTTTATCTTTATGAGTATGCTGAGAGATGGGTAATTATTATTTACAGGCAAAAAAAGAGAAGGTGATGGTCTCAAAATGATCAAGCAAGCTCGTGGCAGAGGTGGTGCAAGATCCAAGGTCTAAGCCTAACACTCTGTCTACAATTGTTTGGGTTTGTTTAAAAGGATGGAACAAATTGCTGGAGGAGAGATATAAAATGCTAAATGAAGCTTCTGTCTATGGAGGCAGTATATCTGAGAGCATCAGGAGTTGGTCATAAAGAACAGACCATGGTCTTCCCTTTATTATCCTCTTTGAGAACTTTGAAGGCTATCAGCCTAATATTTTACAAAAAGTAAATATTAGACTAGGATTTTGAATTCATCCTTGCCATCTGTTTCAAGCTATGAAAAGAGGTACTACACCAGCTTACGCAAGGTACCTATTTCCATCAAAACAACGGGGCAATATTGATCAGTGACCAAAAAGGTCCTAATCACCAGCCTCCCCTGCTGAGCAGAGTCATCATGAAAGCCAAATGGCAACTGAGTATGTTTTAAAAAGCCCTATGGTGTTCGTGAACACCTGAGCATTAATGGGAAAAATATTCCACATGGGTGGCATTGTTCTAATTGAGCTCTTCATGACTAAAACTGATTAGACAGCAACACAAGTGAAACGCAAAGACAATGCAATCAGTTTTGACATCCACCAATCTTCCACCTCCTCCACCTTTTCCTGACAATCTATAATTTTCCAGTCCTTTCTGCTAAAGAGCTGTGCTTATTGTTCCGCTTGCCTGTGCTCTGCATGAAAAGCACAGTACAGAGACATCTGTATTACTGGCTGGAACTTCTTATTAATAAACACACAAATAGAGCCAGTTATTCATGTCAATGGATGGGCTAAACTCTCTGACGCAGGTGAGGAGGAGGATGTGGTTTCTGGTGCTCTATAAATGCTGCCGCCTTTGTCTCCATGGAAGCTCCTGGCTTCCCATTAACCTTGCCTTAATGAGACGTTATACAGTTTCAGCATGAAACCTGAATTGATAGGATCCAAACATTTCCCTGTTTCATTAGTGTTTTGTTCCTGGGCAGACAGTTCCCAGCAGAGAATCACCACAAAACCAAATGTTTCTGTTTGTTCTCACTTACTTGGATTTTATGCATTTTCTATAGCCTGGCTATTACACAAAGAATTGAACATTTCCATCTGTGCATACATTCAAATGAATTTGATCAGTGACATAGTACTGATTCCCTGATCCCCAGTACAGATTACACTATAGTAAGCAGATATTTCAAAGCTTACAATTTTGCACAAATAGTTCACTTATTTAAAATTACAGTATTATCTAAACAAGAACGACGTTTACATTGATCAACAACAAAACCCTTTTTTGGATGACTTCATGAATAGAATCCTAAAGTTTTCCTTAAGTTCTTTCTTATTGACTTGTGACTGCCATACTAAAGTTGATAAGTGTAACACTTGCAGAAAGAGTTCTCAGATTCATAGAATAATTGAGTTAGAAGCAGCCTATAAGGCCATTGAGTTCAACACCCTGCTCAACACAGGGATCCAAATCAAAGTAGTCCTGACATACAGTAGTCCAATTTTCTCTAGAAAGCCTTGAGCACTGGAGCACTCACCATCTCCTGAGGTAATTGGTTCCATTGTCATAGAGTGGTCTATCGACTAGATAGGCGGGATATAAATAAAATAAATAAATAAATAAATTAAGAAGTTTTTCCTGATATTCAGCTTAAATTTGGTTTACTGTAACTTGAGCCCATTTATGTGCCCTGCACTCTTGAATGAACAAGAACAGATAGTGCCCTTCTTCTGCATGACTATCTTTCAAGTAGTTGAAAAGTGCTGTCCTATCTCCCCTCAGTCTTCTTTTCTCAAGGCTAAACATGCCCAGTTATTTCTTTCTGTCTTTCCTCATAGAGCTTGATTTCCATCCTTGTTGCCCTCATCATGCATTCATGTGTAATGATTGGATTGCTTTAAAACAAAACCATAAATGTTTATATTTCATAAAACATAGTAATCAGAAGAGGCCAAAAGAAGTAGATTTTATTATTATTTTTGGAGTTGAGGGTTGGGTCATTGTTAAGAGTTTGATTTTCTCACATAGCGATGTTGCCATAAGTCAAAAGAACTATGCAGCTTCATCTTCTGCATGTCTTCTCTGAAGGAAGGCCTAGTTGTGTCCCATGCCGCAACCACCACCAGCCACTTCCTGTCATCATCCCACTTGCTAAAGAGCTGGTACCTTATTGAGCGTGTTCAGGGCTTCCTGGGCAGCAGCAAGGGCGGGCTCCGCTTTTTCAAGATCTTCCTCACAGTCCTTCTGCTTCTGTTGCACCTCTTGTGTGATCAGGGCCACTTTCTGCTCCTCCTCATCAGCGATGGCCTTTTCCTTACTGACTTTTTCCGTCTCTATACCCACCACTTGGATCAGCTTGTCTGCATCTTCATTCTTCTGCTTCAGTTCAACCTCCTGAGCTGCCAGCTTTGCTTTCAGATCATCTACCTGGAAAAGAGAACTTGGAATCAGCCTCACTGGACACTTAAGGCAAAACATATGGGAAGGGAGGGCAAAAGAGAGAGAAAGCACCCAACAGCTTTATAGCCCATGGATCCATCCCAATACAGATGGAGGACAAATGAATCAGTCCATAGTTTCAGGGTTTTAATGAATATTTTACTAGGAACTGAATATGCCAAACTGGAAAGTGAACAGCTACTATTCTGCTGAACTCAGCAACCCAGCAATCATCAGCGTTTTAAAATTATATCTAGTAAATGCTCTTCTTTTTTGTTGCACATGGTAAAATGTATGATGGAATACCAGTCAATAGGTTTCTGTGCCCCAAGCCCTTTCAAGAGTCAGAAAGATATTACACGGTGGCTGTATTCCAAGTCTAGACACATGAACTTTATTTAGTTCATGAGTGGGCATTTTGTGTCCCTTCCCCAGAGACTGTAGAATGACAAGCTCCCTCACCATTGGTAATGTTGGGAGCAGCTCATGGAAGTTGCAGTCCAGCCACATTTGGGAGCGCACAATTTGTCCATCTCTGATTTAATCCTGCTGCTGTCCCACTGTTTAAGGACAAATCCTCTCTAACTTCAATATAATTCTCCCTTTTGTCCTCCTGCATAATCCTGCCCCTCTATGCCTCAGAAAAGACCACTGTCCTGGAAAATAAGCTTCTGTATGACTAGGATACTCATATAATCTTATTGCTAACCGTATGCACAATATCCTGGCAGTTTAATTCTGTAAAGCAATGGTTCCCTACCTTCGGTCCCCAAATATTTTTGGTCTACAATTCCATGAAGCCTCACCACCATCTGTGGTGGCAAGGGTTTCCGGGAGCTGCAGTCCAAGAATGTCCAGGGACCCAAGGTTGCCTACCGCCACTGTAGAGCGAAAGTGTGTTAAAGCCTGCTGCTCATATACTGCCCCATAGTGCCTAAAGCACTCTCTGGGTGGTTTACAATGTATGCAGGCTATACATTGCCCCTCGAGCTAGCTGGCTACTCATTTTACAGACCTCAGGAGGATAGAAGGCTGAGTCAACCTTGAGCTGGCTACCTGGGACTGAACTCTGGGTCAGGAGCACAGTTTTGGCTGAAGTACAGCAGTTTAACCACTGTGCCACGAGGCTCAAGAAGAACCACATTCAGCAAAGCAGTCTCCATTCTATGAAGTAGCAACACCCTTCAGATGCATGCCTTCAGGTAGCTCAGGGGTCTTGGAACCATTTTGCTCAGCAAACTCAGGTTTCACCTGCATATCTGTTGCTTCCTCTCATCAACATCTTGGCCCTCAAGGCTATCCACACGGAATCCAATACATGAACTGTACTATCCTTTACTATGCTGTGAATGACTTTTCTCTCCGTTATCCCATGACGAAAACATACAACTCTCACTGACTTTAAAAGACATCGTTATAGTTCAAGATGCTTTCTAAGTCCAAATTCCCATGCAATCTGAAAGTACTCCTCTCCTACCCCTGCCACCCCAGTTACAAGCATTCATTCTCTGCCACCTCAAGATTCAAACATACACATTTGTCTCACGTAACTCTCACATACATTTTCTGTATGTTTGTGTGGGACTTAACGGTACATTGCCTGTCGCAGAAAGAATGGTAGGACATGAGATGTCGGCTGAATACATAAAACAATCTCTTTGGAGATTTTCAGTGAAAAAAGAATACGCTTGTGCATGCTCTGGTACCCATGCTGTTTTTAAAATGAACGGTTCCCTACAGACCCTGTGAAATCACCACCTTCAGTTCCTCTACAAAAACATTAGAGTACTGCATAGAACAACTTCTTTCCATTTAACTTTCAAGTGTAAGCCCTCGATCCCCAGGGCACATCTTTGCCTGTGGGAAAACACAGATGTATAATTGGTCTGGGATTCCATGACAATTTCAGCACAGATTTTAAAACGCCCTGTAATTGCCTAAAATAGATGGTGGGCATTTTTACGTGAGGACAGAGTGGAACCCTGCCCTTTGTCTATGCATTTACTCAACCACTAATCCATTTTCATCTCCTGTTGCTCTGCTGGAGCAGACAAAATTACTCTTGGCTTGCTGGGGGTTCATAGGCACTTCAATCAGCAAAACTCAGCATAAACTTTTTTGTTCGTTTAAAAATCTTTAGCGATTGGGGAAAATTGAAGGCAGATATGTTTGCTGGTTTTTGATATGGCTTATCGACTTCAGACTATGGTAAGTAATTGGGTGCTGAGCACATGTATGAATGGGAAGTTTATCGGGTTATAAACGCTGTAATGAAGCAGCCAAGGGATTGACTTGTCAAGCTCAACAGCTACACAAAAGAAAAGGATATAAACGCAATCCAATGGCTCTCATTTAAGATCCAATTGAATTTCCAGACAAAACCTTCTTTTAAAAAGCAGGAGCAGAGATGGTGAGCTTACAACAGAGATTGAAGGCTAGAGACTTAACCACAACAGAACAGAAAAATTTAAAAAGGAGGACCAAGTTATTAAGAACCAGCGTTACATTTGAAAGCAGCTAAACCAAATGCATAGGCCATGGAAGAAAGGAAATGCAACCAATTAACAAAATTGTCCCTATGAACAGATCCTCTTGACGGATGAAGAAAAACTTCATAGAATGCAAACGTGGTCACCAACAATGAGCAAATTCTAAAAACCTTAATACTTGGGTCCAAGTGACACTTTATATACAGTGGTGCCTCGCTTAACGATGTTAATTGGTTCCCCAAAAAACATTGCTATGGGAAAACATCGCTAAGCGAAACACCATTTCCCATAGGAATGCATTGAAAACCGGTTAATCCGTTCCAATGGGAATGGATTACCGTCCTTAAGCGAAAATCGCCATAGGAAACATCGCTAAGCGAAACAATGTTTCCCCCATTGGAATGCATTGAAGCCGATTCAATGCATTCCAATGGTTTTGCAATCTCCGTGTTCGCTACTTTTAAAGTGTCTTAAAATGTTCAAAAACTGTTTTAAATGCTTGAGATCGTTAGTGCACCTTGTAAAACCTTTGCAAACTTAATTTGGCTTTGTTCTGACTCTTCGTTAATTTTTGGTGAATTCCCCCCCCCCCCACTGGAATGCATTGAACTGTCGGTTTGACAGCTGAAACATCCCTAAGCGAAACAGGGGACCTAAACTGTCATCGCTAAGCAAGGCAAGGTCCCGAACATCGCTCTGCGAAATTTCCCCATAGGGAACATTGCTAAACGGAGTGCAAAATCGCTCCAAAAACCTCATCGCTAAGTGAATACATCGTTAAACGAGGCAATCGCTAAGTGAGGCACCACTGTACATAAGTTGCTACAGTGGAGGGGAATACGTATATTTCCATGCTCACTCTTTTTCCTTCCTATGGCTTCTCACCCCTTTGTCCAAGGGTTTCAAGAGCATGCTTATCCTTGATAACCTGTGGAGGTGAAGCCATGGAGCAAGAAGCAAGTCTGGAAGATAGATGTGATGCAGCCCTGGAATAGGAAATACTGCCTTCTTTCCATCACATTTGCACTCCTAACACTACCACCCATGTTAGGAGTTTTTCTTTCAAAAGGGTCATCAAGCAAATCCATATTATATGAAGTCTAGACTTCACAGCATTCTTTGCTTGTCAAGCCAACAATACCCACCATTTTAAAAAGTTGCAAGTTTTTAAATGCCAAGTTTGGACACGGAAACCACACTAAGGCAAGCTAACATTGCATAACTAATTAGGGGAAGAGTGAGAAGGAACAAAGAGGGTAAGGAAGAGATGGTTTATGTTTTGACTTCATCTTATCTGTATCTAAATCATGTCTTTTTCAAAGAAAGCAAATGTTTTCCGGGGTTCCTATTCTCCAGAAATGAGGTACACTACTGAAGTCATATCCAGAAACTGCAGAGGAATTGGCTAGAAAATACAGTAATACCTGGCAAGGAAAAAAAGAGCAGAATAAATAATATTTATCAGGTTGGAGATACTGTTACTGGACCCTTGGTTCAGCTGTAGCATCTCTACCTGATTCCTTGCCAGAAAACCGAAACCCAAAACTGGTAACAATACAACGTTGGCTTCCTCTTTTCATTCTGGACAAACCCACAAGTTTGACAGAAGAAAACCAAGGTATTTGCATTCCTACGCACCTGAGTACAAATATTTGGCCGAAAAAATTAGCATGTGCTGTTTTCACCTCTACTATAAATTTGTAAGTCTATTTAGAATTACAGTATTTAGGGGGGGGGGAGTGATTAGATTAGAAGATTGGTTGAATAAAATGAGATCAAAAGATCAAATGAAACAAATTCTTCAAAATAAGAATATATCATGGTTGAATTATATGCAGTTAGAAAGATGGACTAATGAATGGGTGATGAAGTACAACAAAGGTAGAGAATGTACAAAATATGAACAATTTCTATTCTCATATGAAGATATTCAGATGACTGAGTCAGAGAAGGGTGTAGTAAGTAAAATTTATAGACTCCTGCTAGATTTAGAAGAAGAGACTGAGAATGAAGGATTGAAGTTAGTGTGGGAACAAGATTTGGGGAAAAGAATAAATGGTGAAGAATGGATTAAAATATGCAAAATGAGGGTTTTATGATTTATGTCATTGGGAATAAAAGAAATAAATAAATTAGGCTTAAGGTGGTATTTGACACCGATAAAATTGAGTAAAATTAACTCTAATTATCTGAATGTCTCTTGGAAATATGAGAAGGAAATTGGTACATACTTTCATATGTGGTGGGAACGTGAAAAAGTACAAAGATTTTGGAAACTAATATTTAAAGAATTAACTGATATATGTGAAAGAGATATAGAATTTAATCCTGAGATAGCTTTGCTATCAGTATTTGTAAATGTGGAATATTATATGATGACTAGAGAGTTGATTACCAATTTATTAACAGCAGCCAGATTAACAATAGCACCACAGTGACCCCTTTTTCCACAAGTGCCTTCTTGTTTGCCATCTGAAGGAGCCAGATTTCTTTGCGAGAGAAAAGACGGATCCCAAATGCCTCTGTTTTCTCCTTTAAAAGGATCCAAGGCACCTTACATCATTGAAAGACAATATTTAAAGTTGAAACAATGAGTATAAAGAGGCAGCTAACGTTGCTGAGAAACAATATTAAAGCTAAAACAACAAGTATATACAAATATTTAAAAGGAGCAAATAAGTACCACTCTGAGATATGATAAACACAAGTACTGTGTTTCCCCCAAAATAAGACAGGGTGGTATATTAATTTTTGCTCCAAAAAAAATATTAGGGCTTATTTTCAGGTTAGGTCTTATTTTCAGGGAAACAGGGTAGTACTAAAGACCCAGTTGGAGCAGTAATGCATAACAATCAAAACTTGAATTTCAAATGGAAGAATGGGATAATGAAATATGGAGCATTGCTATAAATAATAAATTAACTTGTAATTTAAAGGTTAAGAAAGGAGAGATTAAAAAATAATTTTTATGATATATGGGGCAGATTTCTTGAATATGTGCTAACAAGAGGAAAAGGGAAAGTTCCAAAGCAGGAATCTGTGCAATTCTAGAGAAGTGGACAATAAAGGAAGAAGAATAAAGATGATGGAAGAAGAAGATTACTGCAGAAGTCCCAACTAGGGTGGCAGGGAAAACAACTGATTTGTATTTTATGTTGTAGTTTATAAAAAAATAATAATAAATATTATAGATAAATAAGAAAGTAAAAAAATGTAAGATCTGTTTACTTTCTGTGCCTGCTCTGAGAACTATTAGATGGATCTGACATTATTGATGGGAAGAATAATAAAGCAAGCCAAACTTAGGTAAAGCCAAGCCTCTGTGACTCTCAGGGGAGAGAAGTTGGAGGGTGGAGGGAAATCCTGCAGGAAAAAATAGGAGCCATGAGAAAGAAAGAGTGTGCCCACAAGACTCTCAGGAAGCCTTTTAAATCCAGTCTCCTTTACCAGGCTTCAGTACAGCATACACTACATTAAAAACGTCAGCAATTAATTGCTAAGCAGAGGAAATTCTAAAATTCAATAAAACATTTTAACAAAGGCAGTGCTAAGAGGTTGTCTCAGATACAGGAAAACAAGTAGTATACAAACCTCTTGTCACTGTGAGAAAGGCTTTGAAAATAAAAGCGAAGCCCGCACAATGCTTCTTGTAAGCATGGGTTAGAGAGGGGGGGCAGGACGCCCTACACCTCTGGAAAGAAGAGTAGAACACCAGCAGCTTCCACAGAACTTTCCCAGAGGGAGGGTCCTTGGAAATGAGCAGCAGCATTTTGACAAACCCAAATCTTTCCAAACATGCATGATTTAAAAAGATGGAAAACGTGATTGATTTTCAAGCTGGAACAGCTGAGAGAGGATTAATGACTTGACGTTTCGGACTAGAGACAGTAGCTACATGTTCTCAAGTTGACACAATATGCTATTCAAGAAAGATCCTATTTACCTGAAGAGCTTGGAAGTGTTACCTTTTTAAATTTTAAGTCCCAGAACCTCCCAGAACCCCAGCAGAGTCTTGGGGTCTAACTTTCCCAAGCTCTGCAGCTTTACATGTAATAGTGCATTACAATAAGAAATTTACCCACAGAGCACCAGAAAATATCCTACTGGGGGACAGTAATCTTGGTTACCCCTTTAGATACCTTGCATTTTGCAAGACGTGACTTTACAACTGAAAGGCAGAACATAAGTACTCAAAATGAAACAAAACATCCATTTCCTGACAAAATATTCACAGAGCACAGCCCATTAAAAAAAAATAAAGAAAACACAGATGTCTTAATAGAAGTGAGTATCTCTGAAGTAAACTTCAATAGTTAGCAACCGGTTGTCTTAGGGAACCACTCCAGGAAGATAACAAAGAGCAGTGAGGTCAGTACCTCAAAACTCATACTGTACTCTTTAATACTGCTCACTCTCCTAATTTATTTCTCCAACATCTTTCTGGCCTCTCAGTTGCCAAGTGGAGAACCAAGAAACACATTTCCATAGCGCAGATTTACCCAGTGAGCTTTCTGTTGCTCCCCAAGGTAAAATGTGCATTTGTGTTGCTCTTTTAAAGGGACCAGAATTTTCAAACCAATTCAGGCACCTAGTTTGAGAAGACCCACCTTTTTTCTAAACTATATGCGCAGAACCTCCATGCTCCCGTTCCAATTAAAGCGGTAAGGAAACAAGAAACCTAATTATCACAGCTCATGCTGTGT